CCAAAATCTCAAAAGGAGAATGGAGAAGAGGTTTGGTGTGACTCCTCCCTGGGGGATGATTTTGCACTTTCTATCTCTCTCTCTGCAGAGAGCACATGTGCCCTACGTCAAAAAAAAAAAAAGCATTGTCTTTCAAGCTAGACTGCCTAGGTTTGCATCCTAGCTCTGCCCCTTATTTAGTTTCTCTGGGTCTCAGTTTCCCCACTTGAAACATGAGGTTGGTGGTCGCTCCTGCCTCTAGGGACACTGGGGTGGCTCAGTGAGGTGTTATCAGCAAGGTGCTTACAACAGGGTCTGACCACATCCAGAGGCCCAGAGCAGTCACTGCTGTCATTACAGCCACCACTGTGCCACCACTGGTCCAGAAGGCAGGGGCCAAGCCTGCTCCTTGTTGGATGTCACCCACCTGGGACCACCTGGCCGGCCTCCTTCAGAGTCCCCAGGATGGAGTGGACCAGAAGTTGGAGTGATTTCTCTGCCCACAGATTTATCTGTGGCTTTTTTAATCTTTGTAAGCCACTAATCCTTTACTCCAATAAAATCTTAAATACTCCCCTAACATATAAACCAGATAAACACTCAGCCTCTGGTTGAAGATGGAGTGAAAGTGAGAGCAGGATCTCTGAGGCCTGTGTGAGCCTTAGCTTGGGAGCTGAGACAGCGGGCGGGGTTAGGAATGGACAAAAATCCTCAGGGCCATACGATCGACCTCATCCTTCCTTTCTCAGCTCAGATGGCACTCCTCCGCAGGGCACCCTGCCTGACCACTGTCAGCGTTGTGAAGTCCACACCAGTGTTGTACACTTTGTGCTCCCTGGACATCTCCCCACCAATGAATAACTTCTTTTAAATTATTTTATTTAATTTTGTTTATTCATTTATTTTTTAATTTTATCAGAGTGAGACACAGAGAGGGAAGGTGAGAAAGCAAGCCACCGGGTCTGGGGGTCTGGAACTCAAACCATGTTGGGCCATATGGGAGTGTCCAGCATCTTAACCACCACGCCACCTGCTGGTCCCACCAATGAATAACTTTTACCCCATTAATAGATGTTGGATTGTGGGAAACACCCTTACTGGCTTTTTTATTCCAGTCTGAGAGTCTCTCCTTTCGATCAGAATATTTAAACCATTCACATATAACCCAATTATTGATAGCTATTGTATTAACATTGGCCATTTTTCTATTTGTTTTCTAGATGTCTTTCTTGCTCCTCTGTTGCTCTGCTTTAAGTAAATATTATTTGGGGACCAGAAATGATGTAATGGTTATGTTGCTGGACTCCCACATAGTCGACTATGGTTCCAGTGCTAGACTCGGTGGTTTAAAACTCTCACTGGACGCATGTGCGTGCGTGCCCAAGATCCCAAAAGGAGAGTGGAAGAGAAGGGATTGCAGTGTGACCATATCCCTAGGGGATGATTTCTCACTTTCTCTCTGTCTCTCTCTGTCTTTCTGGCAAGCGCACATGCCCTATAGCAAAAATCTCTGAAAAATAAATAAATAAATAGGGACCTGCAGATGGCGTAATGGCGTATGTCACCGGACTCCCATGTAGCCGGCCTCAGTTCAAGTCCTGGACCCAGTGGCTTGAATCTCATGCCAAGTGTATGTGTGTGTGCCCAAAATACTGAGAGTAAAATGGAGAAGGGATTACAGTGTGACCATCCCCCCGTGGGGTGATTTCTAGCTTTCTGTCTCTCGCTCTCTCGTGGTCATTCCACTTTTGTTTAACTGGTTTTTTTTTTAGTTCTTATATGCACCTATCAGTGTTTAGGTTAAAACTAACAATTCCAATAGAATATAGAAACTTTTCTCTGGTATAGCCCTACTCATTTTTCCCTTCTCCGTTGTGCTATTATATCCCCTATGTGTTATAAACCCAGCACAGTGTTTGAAAGCATAAATTGGGCCAGCTCTGTAACCTGGTGGTTAAGGCAGCCAGATCCCACATGGCTAACCCACAGTTCAAATCCCGGACTCAGAAGCTTGAAAAACACTCTGGGGACATGTGCATGCATGCCAGATCCTGATAGGACAGGAAAATAGAGAAGAGATTGTGACCTGACCATTCTTCATGGGGGAGGTGCCTTCTCCCTCGCCCTCTGTCTCTCTCTGGAAGGCATTGCTCCTCTTGGCAAAAAAAAAAAAAAAAAAAAAATTTTAATAATAAATCTTTTTAAAGCTTTTTAGAGCTTCTTACCGTTCACCACAAATATGCATTCTCAAGCTCTCCATTTCTCTCTCCACACTCAGGTCACGCACTGTCTGGAGTCGTTTCTTTCAGTTTAAGGACTTATTATTTCATGTTAGGCAGATGTACTCGTGACATTTTCTTGGCCTTTGCCTATCTACGAACATCTTCATGTTTCCTTCATTTTTGAAGGATAGTTTGGCTGGATGTAGAATTATTGGTTAATGGGTTTTTCTTTTACCACTCGAAAGTAAAACGAAAATGAAAGTCACATTCTAGTCCATTGTTTCATGTGAGAAGTCAGCAGTTTGTCGTATTGATACTCCTCTGTATGTGATAAATCTTCCTTCTCTTGATGTTTCCCAGATTTTTATCTTTAAAAAACAAAAAAGACTCGGTCATTTTATTCCAGGACCCATTCATGTTTTGAAGCTTGTAGGGGCTTTTGTTTGTTTTGTCATAGGGCACATGCACTCACCGAAGAAAGAGAAAGGGGGAAAGTGGGAAATCATCTCCTATGGGGGATGGCCATGCTGCCGTACTGTTTTTTCCATTCTCCTCTCAAGATTTGGGGCACACAAGCACACTCACCCTGTGTCATTTTCAAGCCTCCCAGTCCAAGACTCAAACCATGCAGCTGGCTCTGTGAGATCCAGCACCTTAACCTCCACACCACCTGCTGGCTCCCAAGATTTCTATCAGTGTTTGACTTTCAGCTGTCTTTTGCAATATGAGTCTTTTTGTATTTCTCCTGCTTATGGTTTATTGAGCTTCTTAGATGTGTAAGATTAATGTTTTTTTTAATTAAATTTTAAGAAGTTTTCAGCCATTTATTTCTTGGACCTATTTTTTCTGTCCCTCTGTGTCCTCTCCTTCTGAAACTTAGAGCACACAAGTCGGTGCCCTTGATGTCATCCAAAGGTTCTGTTCTAGAACGTCCTTGTTTACCAAGCTAGAGGTAGGGGGAGGCCACAGATTCCTTCTGTTCTTACCCAAAGTTCAGCCATTTTCCAGGCATAAATGGTTCTTAAATTGTTGTATGCCTTGGGTTAATTTTCAGAGTGCTGAAGTGGTTGTTTTTTGTCTTTCTGTCCTCTTTGAGGAGAGAATTTGCCAGTTTTCTCATCTGGCTGTAGCCCAAATCCCCATCCTTTATATTGCTAAACTGACCACCTAGGAGGACTTACTAATTTATGCTCCAAAGGCATTAACTCCCTCATTGAATACCTCTTACTAAAAATGAAAGTGTAGTTTTAATAAACATTTTTAAAAGTTGATTGGCTGCAGGGCCAGCAAGAGGCGTGGATTTTCACATGGCCAACTCCACAGTTCAAGTCCCAGACCTGGTGACTTAAAAACTATGCCAGGCACGTGTGAGCATGTGCCCAGGATCCCAAGAAGAGAATGGAGGAGAGGGGATTGTGGCATGACCATCCTCCCTAGGGGTTGATTTCTCACTTTCCCTCTCTCTCTCTCCGTCTCTCTCTGATGAGCGCACATGCCCTCATGCACATGGCCCGAAAAAAGTTGATTGGGTCCCCAAGTTGGTTCTTATTGATGACACTAGGTTCATAGTAGCATTGATTCAACAAGAATCCGGCATTTGAGATATCTAGCTATGGTTTAGACTAGGTCAGCTGCAATGGTATCTGACATGTAGCAGGTACTCAAAAATATTTGTAGCTTGGCCTCGGTGGCATTGGTGGTAGTGTGCTGAAATGCAGAGCTGGGGGCCATATGGCCGACTGTGCATTTGGGATCCCAGTCAAGTTGATGTACTGGGCACATGTATGAGTGTCCTATATTCTAACAGGCCAGCAGGCTGGGAAAGTGTTTGTGGCGTGGTGAGACCCCACTGGGGGTGCCCCTCTCTGTCTGTCTGTCTCTCTATCGTGTATTTTCTGTCATGAATTTTTTTTTTAATTCGAATGAATCGGATACATAGCAAAATATATTTTAAGTTGAAGCCAGCAGGTAACGTGGTGGTTAAGGCACTGGATTCCCATGCAGCCAACCATGGTTTGAGTCCTGCACCTGGCGACTTACTTTTTTACTTTCTCTTTCTCACTTCTCTCGCTGGTGAGCACACGTGCCCTATAGCAAATTTAAAAATTATAATACATAAAAACTAAAAAAGAATTTGTTTTAATTATTTTATTTAACTTTATTTTCATTTGACCAGAGAGGGACAGACTGAGAAAAGGAAAATGAGAAAGCAAGCCACCAGGTCTGGAGCTTGAACCAAGGTCAGCCATGTGGGAGTCCAGCACCATAACCACCATGCCACCTGCCGGCCCCCAAAAATATATATGTATATTAAGTTTAAAAGAATCACAATTTACAGCACAGTGTATGAGTGTGATTCCAGTTATGTAAAAATACACATAAAAGTCCCTTTCCTCTGATTGTGAACACATGTATGGAGAGTGAAGATGACTTTTCAAAATCCACAGAGGTACCAGGTGTGTTAGAAGAGTTTCCAGGGGTTCTCTTGGGGGCTGTGCAGGCAGCTTTTCCTTTTTTCTATATAGGCTTCGTGTTGAAATTGTCCACAGCAGTAATACCAAGGAGTCTTCAAAGAGTTCCAGGAAAGTGCACAGTATGTGCATGGGTTTCAAAAATTTTTGCACCAAAATAAACTCATATTATAATTCTATTTTTCACAAACGTTTTGAACCTTGGTGCATTTGTATCTCTATATGGAAATGCACTTTTTTGATTCCCAAGAGTAGATTTCAGTAGATTCATTCTGCCAAATGTGGGATGGGTTTGATTTTTTTTTTTTCTTTCATTTTCACTTTGCAGTGACATGGGTTCGAGGGCTGGCTACTCCGCTCAGGTTTACAAAACTGCCAGTGCAGAGACTCCTCGGCCCTCACAGCTGGCCCAGGCCAGCCCCTTCCAGCTCTCCACCTCCGTCCCCAAGTCCTTCTTCTCCAAACAGCCTGTGCGCAATAAGCACCCAACGGGGTGGAAAAGAACAGACGAGCCCCCGCCACGGCCGCTTCCCTTCACTGACCCAAAGAAGTAAGTGCGTGCACGCCCGGTGAGGTGCCTGTGAGAGCCAGGCCGGGGTGTCTCTGGAGCAGGAAGAGGGTGATGCCTCCCTCCCTCATCAAAAAGATGGCTCTGTGCCAGTCTGCCTACTGGGGAAATAGCTGTGAACAAGACAGACAGAGATCCCTCCTCAGGGAGCTGGCATTCCAGTTGGGATGGCAGGCAGTACATAAAGTAAATAAACGCAGGTCAGCCTGTAACATGATGGTGAAGGCAGCTGGATCCCACATGGTCAAGTGTGCATTTCAAGTCCCAAACTCGGCAGCTTGAAAATCACCAGGAGTGTTTGTGTGTGTGCTCAAAAATCCCAAAAGGAAGATGGAGAAGAAGGGATTGCAGTATAGCCATCCCCTCTGAGGGGTGCTTTCCTTCTTTCTCCCTCTCTCTTGCAATTGCATGTGCTGTGTAGCAAAATTTGCATGAGGGAGGTCAGATGGTGGGTTGGCACTGTGTGGTGTCTGAATGAGGAACATTCCGGGCAGAAGGAATAGCAGCTGCAAAGACCTAAGGTAGGAGTCTGCAAGGCCTGCAGGAGAGACCAGCTGGCTGGAACAGTGTGGGGAGCGACAAGGAGAGAGTAGTGGGACATGAGGTCAGAGATCGAGGGGACAGATCGGGAGAGCTTTAGCATCGGCTTTGAGTAAGGCAGAGCCAGAGGAAGGAGGGACGTAATCTAAATTAGATGCTCGAGAGGTTCCTGGGCTGTGTGTGGGAAACAGCCTGCGCCTGCGAGGGGGCAGGAAGGACAGACCGAGACAGGGCTGGAGCAGGACAGGAGCAGGGGGAGTGGTAGTAGAAAGTGAGTAAGAAATCGTAATTCGTTTTTAATGGGAAGAAATTTTAAACGAATGTGATAATGGGGCAGATTTGGAATCAATGATCTGAAGCAGGAGCAGACTGGGTTTGCCAGCAGGTGGGTGTGATGTGACAGAAGGAGAGAGGTCAAAGGTGCTGCTGTGTCTTGAAGCCTAGGAGATAGATGTGCCTTGAGCTGAGCTGGACTGGGAAAGTTCGGGAGTTCGAGTCCAGATGTGTCACAGTTGACATCCAAGCAGAGGGCAGGAGGAAGCAATGGAGCTCAGCAGGGAGCACAGTCTGGAGGAAGAACTGGGGGTGTTATCAGCTCGAAGCTCTGAAGCTGGGCAAGCTCCCCCAGGCCAGGAGTATGGATGGAGGAGAGGTTAGGACTGAGCCCAAACTCTCGACACTCAGCAGACCCATGGAGCGGCCAGTCAGGAGGCTAACCAGGCACTGCTGCCCACGAGGTGGGAGACGCCCAGGCCACCATGGGGTTCTGGGAGCTGGGATGATGCCCATGGGGGGTCAGATCAGAACTAAATAGAGTTGGGACTCACAGAGGTCCCTGGAGAACTCAGGAGAGGGGCCTAAGGCAGGACTGAGGCAACTGTGTGGGCAGCTGGTTTGAGGCGCTTGCCTGTAAAGTGATGGGGGAAGTGCAGTTAAAGGGTTTCTGGAGACCAGCAGGTGGCATGGCGGTGAAGACACTGGAGTCCCACATGGCTGACTGGTTTCAATCCCAAACCCAGCAACTTGAAACTCACGCTGGGTGCACATGCGTGAGTACGTGCATGCATGCCCAAAATCCCAGGAGGAGAAGGGATTGCAGCATAACTAATCCCCAACCCCCAAGGGGACTGATTTCTCACTTTCCCTCTCACTATCTCTGTCTCTTTTCAACAAGTACATATATCCTGTGGCAAAAACCTTTAAAAAAAAAAAAAGTTTCTTGTTTTTAGTTGGAAAATACAGTGCATCACATTTGAGTGCACACCATATTCAGGCTCATTTCGAAGTATTTCATGAGAACTAGTTGACAAGAATCCTTATGGATTCTTATCCATGAGGTGGGCCTGTTCTCCCCCTTTTCACAGATGAGGCAACTGAGGCCAGGGTCACTCAGCTGGTAAGGGGTGGAGCCAGGACCCTACCCAGGAAGTCTGGTCCAAACTCTGTCCTGTCCTTTTTGATGTCTTTCATGACCTGGATGGGGCTATTCTGATTTGTAGGTGACACGGAGGTTGGAGGGAGAGAGGTGTGAGGACACAGAGGCAGGGTCTGTGGGGTTGGTGGCGGGGAGCCAGCACGCTGAATTCAAACTGAGAACCAATCTGTGTGCCTGGCCCACAGCCGGAGGGGACGCTGAGAACTAGATTCTGACCGTTCACTCCTCTGCTCAAAACCTGCTTCCAGGTTAATGAGGAAGGAGGGCTCACGCTTACTGAGCTCGCTTGTGTACCACACGCCAGCACACTGTGTTCTTTGCCCAAACTCCTGCCCAGACCTCCTGTGGTCTGCCCCCTGCCCCCTCTGCCCTGGTTTTGTCTCACTGCCCACCCACCCCCAGGTCCACTCCAGCCACACAAGCCTCTCGCTGCTCCTCAGACTCCCACATACAGGTCCAGCTGCACTGGCTCTTCCCACTGCCCGGGAGGCGCTCCCTCCAGATCTCAGGGTAGGCTCCGTGAGGGCGTGGTCTAATGCCACCTCCTCAGGTAGGCTCTCCAGGCCTTAGGACCTGCTGTCATGCTGTCACTTTACTTAGTCCTTCTTGTTTTCCCTGCAGGAAAACAGGTGCCACTGCCTGGTAGTAAGACCTCACGCCCTGCCTGGCACACGGTGGGGGCTGTCAGTGAGCACATGAGCCATGAGTCTCGTCATATTCTCAACCCATCACAACCCACCAAGTAGACACCACAAGGCCCCACTTTTCAGGGTCCAGTCCTGCCAGGCCCTGAGCCCCAAGCATGCTCCTCTGGGAGCTGCATTCTCCTGGAGGCCCTTCTCTTCATGTGTGTGCCTCCCCCTGCCTGGAATCCCCACCCCACTACCACCAGGCTCGCTCCTCCCCGCTAGGGCTGCCGTAACAAAGTCCCGCAGCTGAGTGGCTTAAACAGCAGCAGTGTATCACCTCACTGTTTTGGAGGCTGGAAGCCCGAGACCCGGGCATTAGCAGGGTGGTTCCTTCCAAGAGCTGTGAGGAAGACTGTCCCAGCGTCTCTCCTCGTTTCTAGCTGTTTACTGACAGTCTTTGGCACTCCCTGGCATTTAGGTGCCTCACCTCCATCTCTGTCTTTTTTCTTTTTTTTTTTTTTTTTTTTTTTTTGAGAGAGGTTTTCACTATAGGGTACGTGCGCTCACCAGACAGACAGAGAGAGACAGAGAGACAGAAAACGAGAAATCACCCCCTAGAGGGGATGGTCACGCCGCAGTCCCTTCTCCTCCATTCTCCTCCCGGGATCTTGGGCACGCACGCACACGCGCCCAGTGTGAGTTTTAAGCCACTGGGTCCAGGACACGAACCGCAGTCAACTACGTGGGAGTCCAGCAACATAGCCATTATGCTAACTACTGGTTCCCCATCTCTGTCTTCTTCACGTGGCATTCTCCCTGTGTGTGTCTGTGTCCTCATTTTCCCCTTCTTTGAGGACACTGGATCAGGGCCCACCCTAACAGCTTCATTTTAACTTGATTGTCTCTGTAGAGATCCTATTTCCAAATAGGGTCACGTTTGGAAATACTGGGTTAGGACTTCAGCATGTCTTTTGGAAAGACGCAGGTCCACCCATGCATCCCCTTCAGGTCTCAGCACAGGCCTGCCTTCCTTGGGGATGTCCCCATGCCCCACAGGAAGCTCAACGCTCACACTACTTCCTCTCTGTCACCCCCCACTGGATTGAGCTCTTTGAGAGCAGAGACACCCTGACCCCACCCGGCCCAGCCCATAGCAGGTGCTCAGAAAGCATACCTGGGTGAAACCCCAGACAGGCAACAGTCCCTGTTGCCCAGTGATAAGATCCAAAGGTGGTTTTTTACATATGTGTGTGCATTTGTGTAAATATGGAAACTAAATATGTAAAATATTTGGGGACACAAATGAAATAGTTTCCAGGACCAGCAGTTAGTGTAATGGCTATGTCGCTGGACTCCCATGTAGTCGACCGCAATTTGAGTCCTGGACCCGGTGGCTTAAACTCACACCAGAAGTATGTGCGTGCGTGCTCAAGATCCCAAGAGGAGAATGGAGGAGAAGCGATTGCAGCATGGCCCTCCCCTCTGGGGGGTGATTTCTCTCTTTCTGTCTCTCTGTCTCTTTCTGTCTTTCTGGTGCTCTATAGCAAAAACCTCTCAAGAAAAAAAAAAAGAGAAATAGTTTCACAATTCCTTATAATACTGATTAATTTAATTGGAGACACATTTTCAATTCAGTATACATGATATGTTAACTTAGAATTGCTGTTTTATCCAATGTTTCCATTTCATGAAGCTATTGTATTTTATTGGGTCATCTGAAAAGTCATGATGCATTTTCTTAAAGAATTTTTTATTTAACTTTATTTATTCATTCATTTATTTTAATTTGACCAGAGAGAGAGGGAAAGTGAGAAAGCAAGCCACCATGTCCAAGATTCGAACCATGGTCGGCCATGTGGGAGTGTCCAGCGCCTTAACCACCATGCCACCTACTGGTCCCCATGATGTACTTTTGCATAGAAAAATATATATGACTTTTTCGGTGACCTAATATTTTATTTTAGAGATAGTGCCTTAGTCACTGTAAGAGTCATTTTTTTTATTTTTTGGAGAGGTTTTTGCTATAGGGTGTGTGTGCTCGCCAAACAGACAGAGACAGAGAAATAGAAAGCGCAAAATCACCCCCCAGAGGGGATGGCCACGCCGCAATCCCTTCTCCTCCATTCTCCTCTCGGGATCTTGGGCACGCACACACACGCGCCCGGCGTGAGTTCAACCCACCGGGTCCGGGACTCGAACCATGGTCGACTACGTGGGAGTCCAGTGACATAGCCATTACGCTAACTGCTGGTCCCTCTAAGAGTCATTTTTTAATCACCTCTCCTAGTTTTCCAGCAAGCATCATTTTATTAAAGAATTATTTGACTTTATTTATCCATTTATATATTTTTTTAATTTGACCATAGAGGGACAGAGTG